AGCTACTTTAAATCAAACAATTTAAACAAATTATAGGGTTTGTATAGCTAATTTAAATCAAACAATTTAAACAAATTAAAGGGTTTGTATAGCTATTTTAAATCAAACAATTTAAACAAGTTAAAGGGTTTGTATAGCTACTTTAAATCAAACAATTTAAACAAATTAAAGGGTTTGTATAGCTATTTTAAATCAAACAATTTAAACAATTAAAAATTTGTTTAAATTGTTTGATTTAAAGTAGCTATACAAACCCAAAGGGTTTGTATAGCTATTTTGAATTAAACAATTTAAACAAGTTAAAGGGTTTGTATAGCTATTTTGAATTAAACAATTTAAACAAATTAAAGGGTTTGTATAGCTATTTTGAATTAAACAATACAGTGAAATTAAAGGGTTTGTATAGCTACTTTAAATCAAACAATTTAAACAAATTATAGGGTTTGTATAGCTACTTTAAATCAAACAATTTAAACAAATTAAAGGGTTTGTATAGCTATTTTGAATTAAACAATATAGTGAAATTATGTGGTGTAAAGGTTTGATTGTCGTTGTTAAAGGGGTGTGTAGTGTAAAAGTTTGATTGTCGTTGTTAAAGGGGTGTGTAGTGTAAAAGTTTGATTGTCGTTGTTAAAGGGGTATGTGGTGTAAAGGTGCGATTGTGTTATGAGCCTACCCTCGTTCAGTGAATCTTATTCTTTCAGGGTTAGTACTGTACACTTTACACTCCAAGTGGAATAATGCACGAGGACGCCTGCATATTAACATCTGGGCATGACGTCTTACTTGCAAGAAAGAAAGTCCTTACGTCCTTCACTCTAGGGGCACATAAGCCTGCCCCTCTAGAACACTGACAGGCAAGCTTGAAATCCTGTATCACAATTAATAACAAGAGGGAATCCTCAATAGCCGCAGCACTTGAAATTCTTTTAGGCAGGAATAGACGAAATTAATCTATGAGATATTGGGCGTGGTCAAACACATCAGTCGAAAGAGTTTGACCTACCGAGTCGAAAACTGTAAGTAAATCTCAAATCGGTCAAGAGATGACAGAGCTATAAGCTAAAAGTTTATAAAAAAAAAAAAACTCGTTCTCTGAGCCGCTAATAAATCTACAGTTGAATAACAAAATAGTAAAATTTATTGTTTTACTTTTTATTGGAAATTTACAATTCAACCAGACAGAATTAATATACGGATTTTATTTATAGGAATCCCCCCCCCAAAAAAAAACAGTCATGTTGCTATTTTTTTGACTGAGCCATTACACTTACTTTGCGCATGTGTAAAGCGGATGGAGCCTCCCCCTGTAATATTTTGTTGAAAGTAAAGAATAAAGTTTATTAAAGTTCATTTTTCTAAGTTTTGCTTTTTTCTCCCATTCGTCCCCTTTTTTTAGAATTGACAGAAACACCCTAATATCTTACCTGTACAGATTGGCAAGGTTAAAGTAGGCCCTTGCGTGATAGGAGTTTACAGCAATGGCGACTTTAAAATGGTGTTCTGCCTCCACAGGATCACTAAGTAGGGTTCCCAGATTATTGTGGGCGCTTGCGTAGTCAGGCCATAAACTACAAGGCAGAGAATACAAATTAGTTCAAATCACTGCTAGGACACTGATTTACATATTGTATCCCTTAGCAACGACTTGCTTTGTGGTGAAATATTTACTCCGTCGGAAATGATTAATAACATTTGGTTACATGTCACTGTTCTCGTGCATGTCAGACATTATACTTATTTGATTCTTCGAAACACACACGAGACGTCACTATTTATACGAGAACAATGCCCTCTGGTGGGAAAGTTTGTATGTTCAAATTCATCGTTAACGTTTTATGTGTATGATTTAATGCAAAAAGTTGATTCTATCATGCTGTCTAGGAAACTTGTTTGTTTGTTTGTTTTAAAGCAAGAGCCACGTTGGGCTATCTGCTGTGCCCATGTGCCCACCGCGGGGAATCGAATCCTGAATTATGGCGTTGTAATTCCCTAGACTTTCCGCTGTGCCATTGGGGGATAATCTAGGAAGTAGCGGATTTCCTGTTTCCTTTATAGGAAATAGCGGATTTCTTGTTTCCTCTATAAGGAATAGCGGATTTCTTGTTTCCTCTATAGGAAATAGCGGATTACCTGTTTCCTCTATAGGGAGTAGCGGATTTCTTGTTTCCTCTATAGGAAATAGCGGATTACCTGTTTCCTCTATAGGGAATAGTGAATTACCTGTTTCCTCTATAGGGAATAGTGAATTACCTGTTTGCTCTATAGGGAATAGTGAATTACCTGTTTGCTCTATAGGGAATAGTGAATTACCTGTTTGCTCTATAGGAAATAGCGGATTACCTGTTTCCTCTATAGCGAGTAGCGGATTTCCTGTTTCCTGTTTTGTAAACGTTCTACAGGAAGCACTGAATTTGCCGTGTCTGCGTCATCTGTGTTCAACAGGAATTAATGAAGTTCCTGTTAGAACTATCGAAGCTAACATCTACATGTAAGTTCTCATTAACTTAGAGCGAGGCGTGGCCCGCTATTTAGTGTGCCGAACTGTGGATCTGAAGTCGCGCCATGTTATCAACAAATATATAAATCGCGTTCGACACTTTGGGGCCGTGGGTGCGTTATAAAAGTAACAGTGAAATACAATTATTCGGTCTGATAAATAGCAGTCTAATAGTTGACGGCGGTGGGTGGTTTTCACTAGCTGCCCTTCCCTCTAATATACAGCTTCAAAATTTAGAATGGGTAGCGCAGGTGGCGCTCGCGTAGTTTCTGCGAAAACCAACAAACCCTTTAACTTCACTGTATTGTTTAATTTAAAATAGCTATACAAACCCTATAATTTGTTTAAATTGTTTGATTTAAAATAGCTATACAAACCCTTTAATTTGTTTAAATTGCTTGTTTAAAATAGCTATACAAACCCTATAATTTGTTTAAATTGTTTGATTTAAAGTAGCTATACAAACCCTTTAATTTGTTTAAATTGCTTGATTTAAAATAGCTATACAAACCCTATAATTTGTTTAAATTGTTTGATTTAAAATAGCTATACAAACCCTTTACCCCTTTAACAACGACAATCAAAGGGGTGTGTAGTGTAAAAGTTTTTTGATTGTCGTTGTTCTTTTACACTACAC